GAAGGAGGGTTGGAGGTGGTTGGCTATGGTGGACGGGTATGGGTGATGAAGGAAGAAGGAGGGTTGGAGGTGGTTGGCTATGGTGGCCGGGTATGGGTGATGGAGGAAGAAGAAAGGTTGGAGGTGGTTGGCTATGGTGGACGGGTGTTGGTGATGGAGGAGAAAGAAGGTTTGAGGGTGGTCGGCTATGGTTGACGGGTATGAGAGATGGAGGGAGAAGGAGGGTTGGAGGTGGTCGGCTATGGTGGACGGGTGTGGGTGATGGCTTGCTTTTCCCGTGGTCTGCGACCGATCCTATTCTGCCGCCCAACTCCCTTCCCCTTATGCCTTTCTCGTAGGTCGTTGGTCTTGCCCTCATGTCCCCCCTTGCAATAGTGAAGACATTCTTTTCAGAACCGCAGATTTCCAAGAGAGGAAGCAACAAGAAGTGACCCGTCGACACTTTTCCCAAGCCTTTAGAGCCGCAAAACGGCAATGCGAACAACACCCTACCCGGGGATTGAACAGCGAAGCACCACCGGGTGAACAGCAACCTATTCATGCACATATAACAGCAAACGGACAATGTGAACAGCACCCCGCTCCAGGAGTTGAACGGCAAAGTACAACCGGGTGAACAGCAGCCCCCTCATGCACCCAGAACAACAAAAGGACAATGTGAACAGCACCCTACCCCGGGGGTTGAACAATGAAGTACCACCGGGTGGACCGCAGCCTACTCATGCACATAGAACAACAGACGGACAATGTGAACAACACCCTACCCCGGGGGCTGAACACCGAAGCACTACCGGGTGAATCAACAACCTTCCCACGCACATAGAACAGCAAACAGACAATGTGAACGACACCCTACCCCCGGGGTTGAACATCGAAGTACTACAGGGTGAATCAGCAACCTACCCACGCACATAGAACAACAAAAGGACAAGATTGACAACATCTACCCTAGAGGAATGCTCACCGAGGTACCCCGGGATGAAGCGCCATACACACACTCATCAAGGACAACATAAAGGTAAGATTTGAAGCATCTCATGAAGAGGAAACATCACCGAAGTATCCCGAAGTGAAGCACCACACAC